GGTTCCGAAGAACCGGAGCGCGCAGAGAACTTGTTGTTCCACGGTCCGAGGCGGCGAACGAAGCTCGTCGCAGAGTCAACGCACAACGGCTTTCGATCGCCGGTACTGTCGCCGAAAGTCGTCGTCGGGGAGTTGAAAGGCGTCCCCAGTGGTCTCAGTAGCGACGCCGACGGTGGCGGAAGATAAGCTCGGCCGCAGCGTACGGCACCGCCATGTTGACAAAGTTTAACTTCGCCTCGATCCGAAGCGAAGATCTCGAGCTCAAACCACGGCTCTCGCAAAGTTCGGAAACGTCACTTTGACGTCAGTGACAACTTCGACAAACGAGGTTTCTTTTTAACAGAAACTTCGGAGGGATTTTGAGCGTCAGCAGGTCGCCTAGGGACAATTTGCAAAGCATTAATTTTAGCTTGTCGTAGGGATGTAGGGACAAATGGGCGCTACGTCATCGGCGAAGCCGTTCAATCAGCGGGCTCCTCGCGCCCCTCACGCGCCGCACGCGCGCCTCGATGAACTTTGTTTTGAATGATTGACACCTCGCTCGGTGCGACGTCAGCGTCGCGAGAGTCCAATTAGCGCGTTCCGCAACTTTCGGACACAAAGTTGTGCTTGACGAGTTTAGCGACCCAGATCGAAGCGGGCAGGGGTGTGGATTGAACCTGGGTTCCAGGGTTCTGCAGCGCGAGCTTTCGCTCCACGTGCTCCTAGCTGGTGTGCGCTAGCACACTCCACCACCGATCCCCCCAAATCCAAAGTAAAAAAGATAAAATGCAAGTGTTTCAGCCCCTATATAACAGTTGCAAATATTTGAAATCCAGGGCACACATTTTGATTGTAAACATCTAAATATTATACAGTCATATTATAACCTCCACATTCTTATTCAATATGCTGTCACAAACGCATCGCACAAGTCTTTAATTCGATTAGTCTTTGTAAAGGCAGCTTGGCCGCAAGCAGTTTTGGTGCGCGGCGGAGGGCTAACTTTACAGGGGCAAAAAGCGGGCCGAATACGAAAAGCTTCGAGGAATATAAAGTATCAATTAAAATTAAAAAAAAAAAAAAAAAAATATATATATATATATATATATATATATATATATATATATATATATATATATATATATATTTGACTGCGGCGTGTGCTATGAGTACGCAGCTATTATATTACTTGGTAACATCACGATTCTTCATTTCAATGAGAAGAAATTCAAAATTTTTCCAAAATGACCCATTGTACCCAATGAAAAAAAAAAATTATGTCAGGCTCAGGAATAAAACAAACAATCCTGAGGTTAAAGTAGGCATTAAATAAGATTAGAATTCAAGACGACGCAAGCGGAGCATGTCCAGGAATGCTGAAGATGTTCACTTCGCAACCGCGAAGCGGACCCTCTCGTGTGACATCGTCAAATGCGCGTGAATTTGTAGTGCATCTTTAAGCGACCGCGTTCGCAGCCGCTTTGCAAATGTGGTTCCGCTGCCAGCATGAATGTGGCAGTATGGCCCGTTCACACACTCGCGTTTGACTATAGGACCGACTGAGACATGACCGGTTCTTAAGCTTGTCGTTACGGCTTACGGCCGGCTCCGCAGCGGCGCATCCGGCTGTAAGCCGTGGCGAGAGGCTTAAAAACCGGTCTTCTCTCAGTAAGGCGTTGTCGGTTGCAAGTGTGTCAACGGGGCTTCACCCCGTATTCACCAAGGCGGTTGAACGCTTTAGGTTGAACCTCTTTTGCAAAAGCAGTTGCGAACGCTTCTGCTTCGATACCCAATACAAATTCACGCTCTTTTGATGATGAAAACGAGCGGATCTGCTTTGCAGTTGCGATTCGAACGCCAGTTTAAATGCAGCATAATTGTCTTGTTAGGATAGCGCGAGTTTCATTTGCTTTTGTTTATTTAAGCTTGTTTTGCTCTTTCAGAAGCCTTGTTACCACGCGTGAACAGATGTTGACGCATACTTGTAGCCGTGGCTCGTGCATGATCGAACTCTGCAGTGGTATGGTGCTCATGCTCGATTCAAGCATTACACGACCGGGGCTTTAGTCTTACGCAGAGCCGCTTATACTGAGTGAGTTGAGCCTTCTTAAGGAGATTTTGACCGCCTGCCAACCACAGCAGCGTAGTCTGACAACCGGGGTATGACTACTTCCGTCCGCCATCTTTTGGGTCTGACTCAGAGGAACTCTATGCGATTTCTCGGGAATAAAACAAAACAAAACAAAGAAGCAACGTTACTAAAACACTCAGTTGGGAAACTCCGATAGAGACAGCTTCGAAAAAGTGGCCCCAATCTGTCTCCGCGCACCGAGCTAATGACGAACACAACGCCACCATTCCTCCCGCAGCGGCCTCTCGCAGAACTGCACGTGACTTCTATCTTGGCTAAGAACAGATACAGCGGTAGAGGTTACAGGGGTGCCACCCCCGTCTCCCCGGCGGACGCGCCGCGTTCAACTACTGACGTTAAAATGCACCTAGGTCAGGACGTGCTACCTGAAAAGCCCGCTGAGGCATGGTTGTATAAAAACAATATTAATTGTTCCGCAAAACCTTGCGAACTAAAGATGATAAAACATCACGCGCCCATCATGTGGTACTAAACTCCAATAAATTTCATGGAAAAAGAGTCTTTTCCGTTTGTTTTTACGCAAAAACAGGCTTTCAAAAAGCTCAAGGTGACCACAGTACAGACAAATGATAAAGAGTGGGGCTGTTGTCGCACTTAGCTCGGTCTCGGTGGACGCCAGCGGCCCAGGTTTCGACGGCGAGTTTCCCAACTGAGTGTTTTAGTAACGTTGCAAAGAAGTAACGCCATTTTATGTTATCGGAAGATCCGCTTGTTCTAGCGGGCAACAAGCTCCGCCCATTGGCCAAACTCACTATAAACGTCTCTAATCTTACGGACGCGCTCGCGGCTCCTGACCGAGAGAAGTTTGTACGCTCCTTGCACGGGGTTTGCGATGATCTCAGAACACCGAGATCTAATTGGCTAATTGAAACAAAATAGTGGGTAGACTTCGAGGGATCTAGAATTGAGGTCTGCCCACCATCCTTTCAAGAATAATCAATGCTCGGCGTCCCTCTGATGTCACCGCAACTCCTGCACAAGAAGCAGACGACTTGCTCTCCGCATCGACGACGTGTGCCACCAAAATCGTCGTTGTGGTCGGCATTCGCGATTGGCCAAAGGTTCCCTATGACGTATTTATTTGGATTAATTTTTCTTTCATCGACTGAAATGAGAACAATATCAGACGGTCAACTTTGACGGTGTTGGTTTAGGAATGCGATGACTCCAAGCTTCCTTCGTGCTTTTGAAACGCACCATTTAACTTGGAGCTTGCAATTGATGATAAGTAGCCAGGATTACAGCTCGTGACGTCACTGCGAGCCAAATCCTGGTCGCGACTTCACGAACGGGCGACACAAGAGGGCGCCACCGAAACATCTCGGCCTAATACCACACCACAGTGAAAGTGGTCGAGAAGTGGCAACAGATATTTGTTTTGAAACTACGTTGCAATAGACGCGGTAATTCTTTGCGTTCCAAATGCACCTGTAATACTTTGGGTGACTTTAATTATACTTCGATAGGTTGGCCAGATATATCTATTAAGCATAGTTTCTTCACTTTCAGATTGTTTTAAGTTCGTAAATTTGTATCGCAATTTTAATTTCTCAAAATATTTACCATATTGCTTCCTTTGCCGCTTCTGTGTTAGACCTCATTCTGACAACATCGCCCGAGCTCCATCCCTTTATAAATTCACTTGCCTGGCCTTAGTGATAATTCTTTACTACACTTTCTGTTACATCTACCTATATACTTCAGGTCAGGGGTCGGCAACCTTTTTGCAGAAGCAGGCCCAATCGTCACGAAGCTTAAACCCCGGGAAGGGGGGGCGGGGGGGGGGGGGAGGGGGGGGGGGGGGAGAGGAGGGGCGAAGAAAAGGCAAAAAGTAAGTGAAGTCGTTTTCTGTCCAAGTATGCCGGGCATCCTACTCAGTTTGTGGCAGGGTTGGGCACGAATACTCAAAAATGTAATTGGAAATACAAATACTGGGATGCATTAAAATAATAGCTAAAATACTGATACTAAGATACATCTGTAGAAATGTATCGCGATTCGTATCGAAATACATTTTAAAAAGAGGCAAAGAGTATTTGAAAATACAAATACAGGAATATATTTTAGGGATGGCAGAAATACAAATACTGAAAGTCCAATACATTTTCCAAATTTTTTGAGACGCCAACTGAGATGAAGCTTGAAGTGGATGTTTTCGATCCCGAAATTACTTTCCTGTAGGCTTGGCACTTTGCCTTGAAGGTAGTGGTTTCGGACGACAAGGAGTCTTCAATGGGCCACAAAAAAACGTTTTATCAAGGGCTGACCGCGGTCCCTTCCATAACACCCTGTCTGTTTGACAAGGGAATCCTGTCAACATTGATCACATGATGTCACGGTGGAATGAACTAATATTCTTTATCTGTAGTTGTGGCCTTAAACATGAAACTTTACCACGCTGCTGTACGAAAGGACAATACGTACTTTCGTTGTAGATTACGTAGTTGAAGATCGTGCATGCAGTGTCATCTGGAATTTTTGAGAATAGGGGACCACTTGAAGCATCTTGGAATACATGTCTTATCTTCTGTTACGGTTGAAAAAACGATACCGTAGCATCCCTGTTCTGAAGGTCCTCACTAACGACCCTCCGCCACCGACGCACGGATTGCAGTCCTCAAGTTTTGCCTAGTGTTGTGTGTCCGCCGACAAAGGAGAGACTTTGGTACGGAACGTGTCTTTATTCCGCAACCAACATGGGGAGCGACTTGCTCCGTAGCGTCCAGCTCAAGCGGCCCAATGAAACAGACTACTCGCCGCCCGGGTGCCCCATCCCAGAGTTCCCCGCGGCGTTGTACCCAGGGTGACCCGACCCGAACCTCACTCCGCCAAACACCACATTCTTCCGCACTTGATTGACAAAGTCCCCCTTAGGTCAGTCCCCCGGTGAATAACGATCAGGAGGGCAGCGCACTCTTGTTGGATAGCGCTGAGTCGGCGTTCGAGGCCTTGAAATACTGGTCGACCCCGGGTCCGTTGAGGCACTTGTAGGTGGGCTGGCAGGGGGAGGCTGCGCTTGGCTTGCTGTACTTAAAGCTTGCGGTATGAAGCTAGCTCCATCTTCCTCCTGTGACGCCGGCGTTCCAACTTCCTGGTCCCCCTCCTGCCGAATGTGATCCTGATGGCGTCGCCAGATGACTGTGTCATGGTCCCGGTACACACGCAGCTTGTACGAGACAGGACCGCTCCTTGACAGTATAGTTGCCTTTAGCCACTTGTCTCCCCGATGGGGGTTCCACACACGTACCCGGTCCTTTAATTTAAACTCTCGGGTACGGCAGCTTCTTTGCAATATCTGGCGGAACTGATGCCTGGCCACTCTGTTTTCTACAGATGGCTTGAGAACATCCAGTCTAGTGCGAAGGCGTCTTCCCAAAAACAAAACTGCTGGCGCCTCCCCAGTTGTTGCATGTGGAATGTTTCGGTAAGTTTGCAAAAACTTTCCTAAGGTCTGCTGCAGTGGCTCCGAGGCAACTCCCTTGCGCAGCGCCGATTTTAAGGTTTGCACAAATCTCTCCGCCAGGCCGTTGCTACTGGGGTGATACGGTGCTGTTAACACATGACGTGTTCCGATCCGTTTTAGAAAGTCCTTGAACTCGTTTGACGTAAACTGTGTGCCGTTGTCAGAAACCAACGTCTCGGGCATTCCAAAACGCGCAAACACCTCCTGCAGCTTTTCAATAGTCTTTGCCGAGGTTGTCGCTTGCATAATAAACACCTCTGGCCATTTTGAGTGGGCATCCACAATTACCAAAAACATAGCTCCTCGAAATGGTCCAGCGTAGTCTACATGTACCCGCTGCCATGGTTTGGTGGGCCACTACCAAGGCTGCAAAGGCGCTTGCGTAGGCAGATTACGCTGTTGCTGACACTGCTCACACGCCTTCACATGGTTTTCCACATCCTGGTCCACTGAGGGCCACCAAAAATAACTCCTAGCTAGCTCCTTGGCTCGCACTACTCCTGGATGCCCTTCATGGATTTCGTCCAGCAGCACGCTCCGTAGCTTTTCCGGCACTACCACTCGCAGTCCTAACATAAGGCAGCCCTGTTGTGCCGACAGCTCCGTGTTACGTTGAAACCAAGGTTTCAGCGCTTGGTCTCCCACGTAAGGAGGCCACCCCTTCAAGACGTAGTCGTACACCCGCCTCAGCAACGGGTCTCGTGCGGTTTCTCTTGCGATGTCCCGACTGTCCACCGGCAAGGACAGTAATCTTAAGGAACAAAAAGACTCCACTTTTTCGTCACTCTCCTGCCGCCCTTCCACTGGAAGTCTGGAGAAACAGTCCGCTTCAACATTCTCAGTCGACCGCTTGAACACCAAAGAATACCTGTAGGCAGACAGGGTCACTGCCCACCTTTGCAGACGTGCAGCCGCCATTGCCGGGATCCCAGTCTTTGGTCCAAAAATAGTCTGCAAGGGCTTATGGTCCGTCACAAGCTTAAACGTGCGTCCATAAAGGTAAAAGTGAAACTTCTTCACTCCAAACAGTAACGCCAGCGCTTCCTTTTCCAACTGGCTGTACCCTTTTTCTGCAGACGTCAGTGTCCGTGACGCGTATGCGACTGGCCGCGCAGTTCCATCTTCCAATATGTGAGACAACACAGCTCCGACACCGTAAGATGATGCGTCACACGCCAGTTGTAAGGGTGCTGTTGGGTCGTAGTGTACAAGCACTTCTGAGGACATCAACAACTTTTTGACTCGTTGGAAGGCCTCTTGACATGTACGGTCCCAGTGCCACTTCAAATCTTGATGCAGTAGCTTGTAGAGTGGAGCCACTATGGTTGCCAGTTGAGGAACAAACTTGCCGTAGTAGTTCACGGCTCCCAGAAGCGATCTCAGCTGCGACACGTCTGCTGGTGCTGGTGCCTTTACGATAGCAGCCACCTTCTCCTCCGACGTCCTTATTCCTTCAGGACTTATCACATGTCCCAGGTACTGCAACGGATCCTGGAAGAAGGCACACTTTTCTCGCTTGATGCGAACGCCTCGTTCCGCAAAACGCTTGAACACCTCCTCCAGACTTCTTAGATGCTCCTCCTGCGATTTTCCGGTAATTAGCACGTCATCCAAATAACATGCCACCCCTGGGATTCCTTTCAGCATGTTATCCATTACCCTCTGGAAAATTGCCGGGGCCGACGCTATTCCAAAAGGCAGGCGATTCATGAGGTGTTTGTGTGTCGTGATGGTCAGTAATCGTCGGGACTCCTCACTCATGACAACCTGCTGATATGCTCTGTTGAGGTCGATTTTTGAAAAACTCTGACCTCCTGCCAACACTGAGAAGAGCTCATCTACTCTCGGCAAGGGATAACGCTCAACATCCAACATCGGATTCAATGTCATCTTGTAATCGCAGCACAATCGTATGGTGCCATCCTTCTTAGGAACAGGCACTAATGGTGTCACAAACTCGCTACTGGTGGTCGGTGTGATGACACCAAGGGCTTCTAGGTTCGACAGTTCCTTTTCTACAGCTGGAACCAATGCAAAGGGTACACTCCTGGCCTTCAAAAACTTGTGATGACTTCCTTCTTTAAGGAACAGCCTCGCCTCCACTCCAGAGATCTTCCCCAGTTCGTCCTTGAAGATGGCCTGATACCTGTCTAGTAATACTTGCAACTTGTCCACTGGCATCGGACTTGCCCCTTGTGTGCTCCTCTGAAGATTGTTGAAGCCCGTCACTGACTTCCAGTTCAACCGCAGCCTCTGTAGCCACTCCCGGCCAAGAAGTGGTGGCCCTGACTGGTTCAGGACATACAATGGCAGGACTCTTGTTTCCTCTTGATGCGAAACTTTAACTTCCAGAACTCCACAGGGCTTGACAGTTTCCCCGGTGTACGTCTTCAACCGCAGCGCCGTCGGCTTCAAGTTCAATGCCGCAAACCTCTTACGGTACTGCTGCTTTGAGATGACTGATACCGCCGCTCCGGTATCGATTTCCATTGTCACCGGCGAATTCTCAACCAGCACTTCTACCGTCAATGGCTGGTCTTTTGGAGCTGTAATGCGGTTGACATGGGCGTCCTTAGTCACCGTTAAAGTTTTCAGCGACTTCTTCCTTCCTTGCGGCTTCCTCTCCTGAAATGAGCGGCATGCTCGCTGAATATGCCCCACTTTCTGGCATTTGTAACAGGTCGCCTCGCTGTGTATGCACGTGCGTGCGAGATGCTTGCTTGACCCGCAACGGTAACAAGCTACCCCTCGCTTCTTAGTATCTTCCTTGTCACCTTTCAACTTGTGGACGCTGGCGCTTTCCACTTGGTCGCTGTTGCCACCAGACCCGTGCACCTCGAATGTGCTTTTTATCGCTGTCTCTAAAGCCACGGCCCGGTCAACCGCTTTCTGGAAGGTCAACGTCTTATCTTCGGCGAAAAGTGCTCGCTGAATATCCCCGCGGCGCATTCCGCAAACGAACCGGTCACGCAATGACTCATCCAAAAACGTGCCAAAGTCGCACGTTCGTGCGAGCGTCCTTAGCGCGGCGACGAACTGCGCAATAGTCTCGCCCTCCTCTTGAATTCGGCGATGAAATCTGGCTCGCTCTGCAATAACAGACGGCTTGGGTTCTAGATGGTCTCGTAGTAGCTGCGTTAGCTCGTCGAAGGACTTCGTTACTGGTAGCTGAGGAGCTGTTAGCGACTTGAGTAAGTTGTACGTCGTAGGCCCAATTAGGCTTAAAAAGGCGTCAACCTGGTCGGTTTCCGGCACATGGTTCGCTCTCAAAAACGACGCTAGTCTTTCTTCGTATGACGACCATGAGCACAACGAAGCGTCAAAATGTTCGACTTGCCCGAACTTGGCCATGGCTCTGCACCATTCCGCTGCGTCGCTTGCTCCTCCGTACCCGCCGCAGTTGCTGTCTTCTCAGGCCTACACGGCGTCCACCAGTTGCTGCTCGAGTTCTGCCCGCATGGGTGGTCGGTCGAAAGTCCTCGTCGCCACTTTATGTTGTGTGTCCGCCGACAAAGGAGAGACTTTGGTACAGAACGTGTCTTTATTCCGCAACCAACATGGGGAGCGACTTGCTCCGTAGCGTCCAGCTCAAGCGGCCCAATGAAACAGACTACTCGCCGCCCGGGTGCCCCATCCCAGAGTTCCCCGCGGCGTTGTACCCAGGGTGACCCGACCCGAACCTGTGCGGGGAGACCCCAATGAATTTCCAATCCCATCCTCGTCGCCACTTTATGTTGTGTGTCCGCCGACAAAGGAGAGACTTTGGTACGGAACGTGTCTTTATTCCGCAACCAACATGGGGAGCGACTTGCTCCGTAGCGTCCAGCTCAAGCGGCCCAATGAAACAGACTACTCGCCGCCCGGGTGCCCCATCCCAGAGTTCCCCGCGGCGTTGTACCCAGGGTGACCCGACCCGAACCTCACTCCGCCAAACACCACACCTAGCATTATCCAAACAGAGACCTCGTGGATTGCGAGCTGATATTGCCGGCACAGGTGCGAGCTGTCCGAGAAACAGCGGTCTCGAGACGAGTCGAGGGAGTACGTAGTCTGGGATGGCACAGCGAGGCCACTTCTGGTTTCCTTCTGGGTTTCGGATCACCAGAGCAGCGGGTCACGTTCACGTCGGCTGATGACATACCCTTGAGCCGTGCAATGTTACGGGCGCAGCCGCAGATGCATTCGAATATGTGTTGAATATCACAGCGTGAGTCTTCCTACTATTTCAAGTCAACCACCGCCAGGCTCGTGCTGCAACGGAATGTGACTCAGCTTTGCCGGCTGTGTGTACTCTGTACTCTAAGGCGAGAGAGACGGTCAGCAGCGGGCATTGGATGCCAGCAAACAATGACTTATGAGATCCCTACCTAGAGGCCTGCGGCAGAAGATGCTCTGACTCCACTCCTGGCACGCCAGCTGGTTCGAGTCCCCGACTACACGACACTTCTCAGAAGAGAAAAGAGGATGCATAGAAAAATAGTTTGCAGAATCAAAAGGAACCTTGGTCAGCATAGTAACAATGCCCCAGCATCTCCTTGACTCTGGTGCCCTCAGAAGTAAAACAGAAATGCGTTCGAACTTGTTTCTCTTTTTTTTTTTTTCGGGGGAGGGGGGGGGGGGGGTATTTTTCAAGAAAAGTAACGATATACATTTCATCTTGATTGTATCGCGATACAAAGAAACATTCAAAATGTATTTCGATACAGGAATACAGATACTTGTGAAAAAAATGTGTTGCGATACAGAAATACAGATACGAAATGCATTTTTGTGTAATGTATAAATGTAACCCTGGTTTGTGGTCAAAGTTGCCTTGTGCTTTGTGCCTGTGAGGAAGCAACAAAGAGGTGATTTTCTGCTGTCGCACTTTAGGTCACAGAAAATTAAAAAAATATGATAAATTCACCGGTTTATTTTGACGAAATCAATAACGAGCTTTTCTTCTTTTTAGATTTTTACATGCATTGTTCCGGAGAACGCACTCAGTAGAAAATAACTGGTCTTCATTAAAGCAAAAATTGTGTCACACGTAAATGCACGCGTGCCTCGTCGCATCGTAATGTCGTCTCTCAAATGGACATAATACACCGCAAAATTAAAAAAAAGAAAAACTAAAAAAAAACACGTTTATTTAGCGCGGCTATTAGCTCTCGAGTTGCAAACAACGCTGGACACCGCACTATTTTGCAGCAGAAGTGTATAAAACGCTGTCAGATATGTGTAGCGTCTTCTGTTGCTCTACTAAAATATCGAATTTATTCAACTGATCGTTACATGGCCAAATTTAGAATAACGACGAAGACGCAATGTTGGCGTCTATCCCGGCCGCTGGTCCCAAGTCGTCTCCGTGCTGTCTCCCTGCGCAGTCTCCTTGTGCAGTCTCCTCGTGTCGTCTCGCGCTGTACTCTTTTATACCCTCGTGTGTAGGGTTACCTCGCGGGGTCGTGAAGTGGTGCAATCGCCGAGGCAATACGGCAAACAGAGTGTACACCAACTCAACTCTGCGACGTCATGGCGCGGTGGTGGCGCGTCGGTCGCACTTCCGGTCTGGGGCTGGGGGCAGAAGTCCCCATGCCAGACGCGTATTCCTGCGTGGTTTTGAAAGGAACCAGACTAAAACCTGCCTTCTCGTCAAAACGCCGGGACTGGGGCCGTACCAAAAGAGTCGAGAAAGGTTTGAAGGTCAGTTTTCACGTGTTCGGTTCGTCCGAGAATCTGATATGTGCCGTGAAAAGGGAAAAGCAGACGCCGTCGGACAACGATTGCTTGGGTGGGAAGCACTTTGGGTTGAATTCACGGATACTTGTGGTCATCAGATTTATTTGTTTTGTTTCAACATGAACGCCAGAAAACCATCAAGTTGCACGGACCACCTGCGGACTACGTTCAGTGCGTCTTCAAGTTCAAACAGCCGCCTGATCGTTCGAACTGTCGTTTGCTTTTTCAAACGTTTCTGCTTGTCGTCTGCTCCCTTAGACGACGCCGGCCCGTAGACCAAATGCTGGCCCGGTACTTGCTATAAGAAGTGAGTGCAGGCTTTAAAAGACTTAAGTTTGAAGGTTCGTAAGCAGGCTCGATGTAAACAGAAGATACAAGAAGTTTTTGGTCATTGTTACCAGTGACCATCACTGACTTGCTATGCCTAATTGGCTTGGTTTGATTCTGCTTGCGATTTGCAGTATCGACGTCGAGCATCTCAGCCAGGGATGGGCAAAATACATGCAAATATGTACCGAAATACAAATACAAAATACTTCGTCAAAAATGTATTTAATTACAAATCTAATTACATTTCCAAAAAAGCAGTTAAATACAAGATACAAATACAACCAAATGTATTTGGTCTCCTCCAAATACTTTTCCAAATACATTCCTCCAAATTTGCGTCAGCGACTTCTGGGCACCTGCAACGGGTTTCTGGGTATCTCATTTTAATTTTGCATCGCACACTTGAGAGTTAGTGTGCGAGGCTCTAGTAACGTAATAGAAATATAATCACAAAAAAAATGTAATCAGCTTGGACGTAATAGGTGAAAAAAGTACAGAGCTTCAAGCAGCTTTTTTTTGTCGATTGCATTTAGGTATAGACTCAATAGACCAACAAAGAACCGAGACGACCAAGAAGCGCAGCACGAGCGAGCGAATTTTTTTTTTTTTTTTATTGTTGCAACTCGTTACGGAAATCTGGACGAACCGCGCATTTAGAATGTTCCAGGAAAAAATATGGATGGAAATCGGGCTGGAAAGCATCACAAGTTATAAAAGGCACTTATTTAGCCAGGCTGCCCGTAAACATCGATTTCCTCACTATTCTTGCCCTGGGCCGGTTTGCTCATCTTGCGGCTGCGGACGTGGCCACGGCCAGGAGGGATTTTTACGTCACGTGACCAGCTCCATGGGGACAAGGAAGCACCTAGCGTCCCTGCATAATTGCGGAGAGATCCGCATCGCTTCAAGCACAAAAGCCTAATTTCGCTCGCAGAAACTGATTGGAGGGACATTCAACTGGAATCTAATTGACCGCCCCTTTATACTGTAGGAGCGGCAGGTAAAGTTACGGCCAGGGAGGGCAAATAGGACCCAAAATAAAGAAAAAAGCACACGAGATAAAAGCGGTAGCAGTATTTTTATATACCTCCACCGGCGCCGCGCCTTGCGCCTTCTGTTGTGGTCGAGAGGTTAAAGCGCCGGTACATGTCGTCGCGGCGTGAAAGTTCCGGGTTCAAATCGCCCCAGGGGCTTTTTTTTTTTTTTTTGTATTTTGAACTGTGATCTTTTTTTGGAAATCATCCACTTGCACTACTGCGCCTTACACGCTTTTACTGTTAGTCCCACCTGTTCAATCGAAACACCGGGAAGAAAAAAAAAAAAAGATCAACGCAAGTTAACGCGCTAATGCAATCATTTCGTAATTTTCATTAAAAGGAAACCAAGCTAACAGCATCAGTATGGCTTTCACACAAGCGGAGCCGAAACAAGCGTCCTTCCCCCAGCATTTACAATTTTATTTGTTTTTAAACAACGCTCTTGCTACAATTCCTTTGAATAACAAGAGACGCCTATTTAGGACTAATAAAAACTGCAGTTGTAGCAATTAAAAAAAATAAAACAAGCAAAAAAGAAAAAAGACTAGAAGCTGTGCATATATTGATTGAGCGAAATCCTACAGGCAAGGCAGCAGGTCAAACGTCTGAGAAAGTAGTAGAACTAAACTAAAAGAGATCATACTTTTACTTGCATGGATAGAGATAACAAGTATATTTATACTCTTTACATTTTGTTGTGACAATCGTTTTGTAATATTAACACATTACTTGTTGAATTTTAGTAGAATAGCAGACGATCACGACCAAATGCAAAAATGAATCAGGCATCGACCATCGCAAACCCTCTCTCTAATGCAAACACCTAAACTGACTTGGGATCAACAAATGGAATTAGTTATAGTT